TCTTGCTAATAAAGTGCTGTGAAATTCCAGTTAAGCTTGTCTCGGCATTCGTTACTGGATGGAGGAGGGGGTCAGAAAAGGTTATTATGGTTTTGATAATAGAAAGACAGGTATGGAAAAAATTTCTAGTGTTTAAAGCATATCTACATTAGAGAAACCATTTTAGCTTCAAATCAACCATGCATGTTTAGAATAATGTGAATAGTGATAGCGCAAAAGAGAAGAACAGCTTATCAGAACAGCTCCTACCATAACAACGAAGTAAAAGAAAAAAATTGATTGTGTATTGTAGTGTCTAGTCATTAAAAATCTATCAGCCTCAACTAGTTTCTTATCTTAACCCTTGTTGCTAAGTAGCTGCCTATGCATTTGTCTTTTAAATTGTAGTGCACATGTATTTAATTTTAATTTCTTGTAGCTTACATTACAATATCATCCCTAAACCTTTATTCCTCTGCAAGCTTTGGGTCCAGTAAGTCATTGTATCAATAAACATAGGAAGACAATTGTTTAAATCCTCTCTAGTTATTTTGTGAAGTTCATTGGGTATCGTTTTTAATTACTCGGGAACTAACAGGTTGAATTCACTATGGTCTTCGGTAATTATTACCACCAGAACCTAAGTTTGGCATTCTTAAAACCTTTCTTAACAGGCTCAGAACTGCCTTACAAAGTTATATAAACTGGATAAGATGCAGTTTCGTCAGACAATGAGAGATTATGTGAATAAAGATTCATTGAACAACGTGGTGGATTTTTTACATGCTTTGCTAGGATTTTGCATGGAGCCAGTTACGGACAGTAAGTATAGAGTATCATCCTTAGCATTCAGCTTTCCTGTAGATGTGTGCCTGAATGTATTAATTTGTGTATGTGCAATGTGTGTGTTTAACTTTTTGTTTGTTTTAATTGAATGAAACATGGGCATTTTGTCTTCACTCCTTTTTTATACTGCCAAGTTCATTTTGGAGTACACGCTCCCCCACTGTGGTTTTCCAAAGTAACAATAGCAATAGCAATAGCAGTTAGACTTATATACCGTTTCATAGGGCTTTCAGCCCTCTCTAAG